TTTTTTTTTTTTTTTTTTGTCTTTAGGTTTGAAAAATTATGAAATAATAATAAAAAATGTTAAATTTTTTACATGGAATTTACATGTCATTAAAATTAAAAAAATTCAATGATTTTGTGGCAAGTTAACTTGACACCTGTCATTTAACTGACAGAAGAACTATTTTGGTACCAAAAATGAAAGTTTAAAGATAATTTTGATACTTTTTAAAGTTGAAGGACAATTTTAGTGCCAAAGTGAAAAGTTGAGGGACCAAAATGGTACTTAAACCGTCATCTTACTTGCCACAATATGTATTTTTAAATATATGCTTTTTTTTATATAATATATAAATGATAATTTGAAATTTTTTTTCAAATGAGTAATTCTTGTTAAGTAATTTCATTTTATAAAAATATGTCATGTTGTTCTTACTTGGAAGGGAAGATCAATTTGTATGGTGAGTTTAACCCTGCAGACTTGATTCCAAGGGAGAAGCCACCATTAGTGGTGGAACATGCACATATAGTTTGAGGCGAGGCCTAATGGTTTCCGAATTAGTTATGTTTTTTTTTTTTTTTGGAATAGCGAATTAGGTATGGTGATAATCGAATCATTATACCTTTATAATTTTTTGGTTCTATAAATGAAATTATTGATTTGATATGTATTGATATAATCATATTGATTTATATTATTAAATTTAGTATTTTATAGTCTGAACCAATTATTGAATAGAAGGGCACTCCTCATTATTACGGGTTTTCTTTATTCTAATGATTTACATTTTGGACTCTAAAATAATTTTTTAATATATTAATACACACTAATAAACACCAAAAGTACTTATAAACTAGGCATTCATCAATTATTCGGAGGTCATACATTATTAAAATAAAACTTAACAATTAACCCTTATACATTAATCCTTAATATTTAAAGTTGGTTATACCTAATTTTGCAACAAATAAAATGATACCACATGTTATCCATATTGGGGTAGGTATTGAAAAGCTATTTTGTTGATGTAGACCTCTTTCGGATAAAGTTTAGTGATTGTTTCCACAACATCAATAAAATTGTTTGCTTGTTGCAAATTTTAAGAAGCATAATTGACAACACTAATAGGTTAATCAATTTATTGTAAATTTCATACCATCATTAGTTTTCAAGATGCTATTGCATATTTTCAGCATACTATCCAAGGGTGCTTATTACTATAAATATGCAAAAGAGAAACCAAATAAAACGGACCTGACTCTCATACAATAAGCTCAACACTATCTCTTTTAATGCTCAAGTTCATCTTAATTTCAAGCCCTTTAGTTTAGTTTTAACTCTACACTTCAACGTAAATTAGTCTTAAATTTTAGTTTAATGTCTTTTACTTTAGATATCCTAAAAATTAGTTGAAGTTCTCTGAGGAAGCAATTCAGTTCCCCTTTTATTGCTTTTGTAATGATAAAATTCATTGCCTTTAGTGATATTTCTTTATAATAGAGTTGCTTTCTTTCCTTTATTGTTTTCCTAGTTTCTTTTAATTTAATCAAGTGATGTTAACATTTAATTTCATGTTTTGTTTCGTTTCGTTTATGTTGATTTATATTTTATGCTACCAGTAAATTTTTTATGTTTCCAATTTCATTTACTTTCACTTAATTTATTTTCGAGCTTTGGTTTCATCTTTCTAGATTTGATTTGGCAAAGGTTAAAAAAAAAAGAAAAAAAAATGGCTGGAGGAAGCAGAGGATAAGACCGAAAGGGGGAAGAAGATGGGAGCAAATAAGTAATTAAAGTCAAGTACTCCTAATCACAAAATATCCTTTAATATATTTATAATAGTAATTATGTAATTAAATGATTTTTAAGGTTATATTAGACAAAAAATTTGGCTATGTCATCAACTTTTACTAGATGGATTTTTCACATAATTTAAGTAAAGAAAAAAATAATTTTTTCTATTAATTAACATACCATATCAATCAAAACTTAACGGAGAGATTAAAAAAGAATCAAATTTTAAACTTTAAAGATCAAAAAGAGGATTTTTTCAACATAAGAACTAAAAAAAGGAATTTTTTTCAAAGTTGACGGACTGAAAAGGGTACTTAGCCAATGGGATTTAATTAAATGAAATTTACATTATATATAACTTATAATGTGATTGAGATTGCACATAAGAAGTCTTAGTTCTTCATATTATATCAAAATATTGCTCACCATGCTGGTGTGTCCAGTCCATGTACCTTTCATGCTACTGAAAAAAAAAAGTGTCAAAACTTATAAAGAAACTAGTTTAAATAGGGATAAATAAAAATTTTAGAGGGGATCATTTGAATACATATTTTACACACTTTTTTTTACTATTCTCCTAGTACTCAGAAGTCATATTGAGTTCTGATTAATTCAAAATCAAGTCACGTTAAACCTTTAAGGAAGTTTTTCCAGTGTTTATTTTTTTATTCACAAAACTTTAACTTAAAACCTCATTTAAGGGGAA